GCGGTGCCGCCCGGTGCCTGTAGGGGGGGGTAGTTGCTGGGGACCAAACTTTGTGACGCAGGTGGAAAAAGTCGCGCAGAAAAAAGGAGCCTGCGCATTTCCATTCTTTTGCCGTTTGTTTTTCCAGCGTTCGTTCCCAGGAAATAACAACGCAAGCTTCATTAAAGGCAACCTCAATTGGGTGTAGGGATTCCTCAGTTCCCTGTTTTTCCGTTCTTGTTGTTAATTTTTTTAAAAAGCTCACCTGAAATTGGGGGTGTTCTCTGGTTCCCAATTGAGTAGTCACTGCATAAATGGGATTTGGAAGGGTTTCAACATACGCCCGTTCTAGAATGCCCCATCAAGTCCCTGAGTTGTCGGGCCAGCGCACTTTCATTAGTAGTCGGGGGGAGGGATGCGTTTCATGGATTATAATTGCGAGCCAGTGCAGGATGGTCAAATTTGCTGGAAGGTTCCTATCGCGCGTAGACTCGATGCTTTCGTGACCCAACGAAGTCTTTAGCCTTGCTTTTTTTGCAGACATGCTCCTTGAAAATGAGGTTATGGCTACCCTAATTACCCCATTGCACAGAGGTTTATAAAGGTGTTCTTAATGGCTCTCTTGGCTACTGCGGGCAACGTGGTTTTGATTTTATCGTGCATGTGCTGCACCGGCTGCCTTTGTTTTCGCTTGTCAGCTGGACGGGCTGGCGGTTGAGCTGGCATGGATCCAGGTGGCTGGAGCAAAGAAAGGGCTCCAACATGGAAGCGACAGTTGTGGCAGGTGTCCCAGTCACCATCTACACGACATGTAAAGCCTGCCGCGCTGGCTGGGGATAGTCTTTGTGGAGCTGAATTCGGGCTTAGACATGTTCAGGGTTTGTGTTGCGTTTGAAATCCACAACCTGAAAAAAAAGTTGTGGATTACAGCTCGCATTTTTGAGGGGAGACCCACAAGTCGTAGCTGTGCAAAGCTGGGACCAAAAATAATGCTGTCACGCAACGCAAGGATGGTTTGCATACAAATGGTTGCAACAATCAAGAGTGCGTTTCTGACACTTTTTGCTTATGCACGCCGTTGGACAAGTTTGGTTCTGGTCAGGCGATCCTGCACCCGATGGTTGGTTCAAAAGTTTTGTGGCCTTTTGGACTTCGATCCAGCAATTTGTGGACAATTTGATCACGAAAATGAGCAGCACAAAACGATCTTGGAGGCTACTTCTTGCGAGGAGGGCCTGAGAGGACAGCTTGTAGTAGGTTGCAAAGAAACCCTGAACACAAACATGGCTCTTGGCAAATCCGGCTTGAACATGGCATTGCATACTGCCGCTGACATCCTTGCTTCCGCCACGTGCAGATGCCCATGCCAAGACTGACCATGGCTTCCTCACCGTTGCGCTGTGGAAAAGGCAACGGTTATGCTGCTTGACAAGGCCAAAGATGCCCCGCAAAAACCACATTGGTTTTCTGGCTTGGTGGAAGCTTTTGCTGGGATTTTCCATCCTAAACATCTTTACCTGCATCCTCCTCCTGAGGAACATGGAGCAAACCCATTCCAAAACAGTTCCCAAGTTCCGCTTGGACGAAGCTCCATCAAAACCAGTTCCCGATTTTCTTGCGAAGACAATGCATGGTTATAAACGCCCGCGAGACGTTCAAGCAGAGTGTTCCCGATGTTCTGACCGCATCCGAGGTCCGATTCCCACAACAATTCCGGAGGATGTATCCCAAGAATGTCAGTGGAAGGAGTTGTTGCATTCGGGCTTTGCAGACGAGGAGTCAAGCTCAGAGGCGTATCAATTGGCGGATGCAAAGGCTTTGTGCATGAAGAATGGGGACGACTGCCAAGGTGTTGTCTGCAGCAATGGCACGGGAAAAGAGACGTGTCGCCTCTCTAAAGGCAGACAGATCACGTTAGCTGATCATGCGACACACATGAAAGAGTGCTTGCTTTCCGGGCCATGCCAAAGGCATCATCCGCCGACTGCGTTGGGTCGTCCTGAATTTGAAGCAGCGATCGTTGTTGTTGCCCACAACCGAGATGCGGATCTAGCTCAGTGCTTGTTGTCCCTATTGAAGTTGACGGATGTAGGGATGTTCAACATCTACGTGTCGTTAGACGACGCGCAGCACTACAGCATAATGGCGGATGTTGTTGCAGATGTGGCCAGAACCACGGGTCACAACGTTGTCACCTTGCTTGTGGCAGGTAGGGGTGTCAACGCAACGCTTGACAACCAAGAGCAGCAAAAATGGTTCAAAACCAATACTGGGAAGATAGCCCACCATTATTGGGCAGCGTTTGAGCATATATTCATGGTCGAGAATGCTAAGTTTGCAATCTTTGTGGAAGAGGATTTAGTTTTTGCGCCAGATTTTCTGGCATTGTTTCTGAGCACCTGGCCGGTGCTTCAAAGGGACGACAGCATATGGTGCGTGAGTGGCTGGAATGATGTTGGGTTTACCTTTGCGGTGTCTGACCAGTGCCGGCTTTTTCGGACGTCATATTTTCCCGGTTTGGGTTTTATGCTACCACGCTATGCGTGGTTGAAGCTGCGTCAGCAATGGCCTTCTGCGCCAACAATGGGCTGGGACTACTGGATGCGCACAGCTTTTCACAGATTGAACAAGGAATGCATTGTTCCAGAAGTCCCGCGCAGCCGCCATTTCAGCCAGAAGGGATCATCTATAGTTCAAGATCATCAAGTTGAATTCTTTCAATCCATGGCGTTGTCAAGCTTGGCGAGCTCCTGCAGCAATCTTTCCATGGCATGCAATCATTTCGGGAATCTGTCCTATCTGATGGAAGAAGAATACGAAGCTTGGATTAGTCATGCAACCGCAGCTTCTCACCCACTCAAGGGTCTAAGCGTGGTGCACCAAACCGGGCATGAGTGCACAAAGGAGGTCGTCAATCTAGGAATACATGACAACCCTGACAACTGCGCCGCACTGGCTGGCTTGGGCCGATGCACAAAATATTTCATGTTTGCTCCAGGCTATCCCAATTGGGGTTGCAGATGCTGTGAAGATGTTCGACCACTTGGAAGGGCTCACGCGGCATGGTCCTTGTATGAGGCGCATGCTCTGACAGTCTTGAACCCCAAGCAGATGTACATTTTCCCTTATGCACGAGAAATGTATCCACACATTGCGCCGGTGTTTGGACTGACCCCCCTGAAGATGGCGAACGTAATTCCTGCTGATGTGCGGTCTCACCATCACGGCTTGATCGTTGCACGACATGTTGCCTCTCAGGCTGTAGTGCTCCTAGCGGACAGACGAAGCTCCAAGCCATACCTCCCCTCTTCTATGCAGGTTCGGCGTGACTCTAAGCTTGTTCCCCTAAAGGCAGAGCGCGGGATAGGTTGTGATGAGACTTGCTCCTTTGCTGGCCTTACATGTGATGCGGAGCAGCTATACTTCCTGAACAACTGTGTGGACATGCAGGATGCCTTTGGCTGCACATACTGTGCCCATCAGGTGGGTAAGGAGCTTCCAGCATATGTGGTTGATGATTTCCAACCCACCGTTGGCCAATGCCTGGTAACGTTCATTTCCCAAATGAGCTGCGAGGCACGACACCCAGCAACTAGCAGGTTGTGCGCTTGCGTGGCTGGCGACAACGCGTTTGCGCATTTGTGGTTTGCCGCATGCCACATGTACGCAGCCAAGCTGCAGGTGGCTGAAGCACATGCTTCCATGAATGCTTAATGTTGTGAGCCATTTTGGCACAAACCCCGATAGGCAAGGGGCATACAGAGCGTGTTTGCCGGCCCACTTTGTCATTTGTTTAGCAACTTCGCTTGGTTGAGATGAGTACACCTGCCGAACATTTCTGTTTCATCTCCAATATCCAGCATGCAAGTTTTCCACCCAAGACCTTCCACTAGCCGGGTAGCTGAGCCGAATGAACCCTCGAACTGTCAGTTTGCCAGACTTGGTCGCTGAAAGGCGCCCTGCTTGAGGTTGTGTGAAGCATTAACCGAGGAGGGTCTGTTGCAAAGATCTTGGCCATTACCAGGAAGCGCAACACCGCGCTCTCGCTTTCAGAGGGTTTCTCTGGAGCCAAGCATGATGGAGCTCTAGCAGCCACAACATCAGGCACCTGGCCAGGACTCGGTGAGTTTTGATCCTTTCAAAACTGTAATTGACAAAAACATCTGTTGACATGAGCAGGACGGCCAGGAAAGGCCCAAACATACCCAGGCAAGACAGCTTCCTTAGCATGTTCGCATTCTTTCAAACTTTGGAGCGCGCATGGGTGGTTTTCTTATTGGCTCAAGCTGCATTTCGCATGATGCTGCCGATGCTGGCACATTGGAAGCCTTTGGGCATGAACTTGTAAAGCCATCAGTAGGCCAATGGGCTGCAAATGGAGAGGTACGAGCGGCTACGCGAGCTTGGCCGCGGGTCATACGGCTGTGCAATACTGGTGCGGGAACGGAGGAGCCGCAAGCAATGTATTGGGCTTACTTGCAGGACATGATCCAGGTCCAATCTACATGACATGTAGTTCAGTCAATAGTGTATTGCAAGAAACCACCTGCACATGCTTGAGTTAGGATAGCAACCATCGAAAGGGTTAGATCCATGTCTCACAGAAAGGGGTATGATTCTTGCTGAAGCCTGAGCATAGGGATCACTGCTACATGCTCAAATGACCGAGGTGTCATCAAAGAGATTGACTTGTCCCGCATGCCAGTCTCCGCACGCAGGGAGGCAAAGAACGAGTCAGACGTCCTACAGCGGCTGCGGCACCCCAACATCGTTGAATACTGTGAATCTTTCTTGGAGGGGCAAATGCTTTGCATAGTGATGGAATATGCCGATGGTGGGGACCTGAGCAATCTCATCAAGATGAGGAAGGCTTCTTCCGAGATGCTGTGCGAAAGAGAGGTCCTGAACATGTTCAAGCAGAGCTGCCTTGCCATCCAGCATGTACACAATCAGCACATTTTGCATCGTGATTTGAAGTCACAGAACATTTTCCTGACGCAAGCCGGCTTTGTGAAGCTGGGAGACTTTGGGATTGCAAAGGTTCTTGCGCACACTGCTGCAGAAGCAATTACCATGATTGGAACCCCCTTATATCTGGCCCCTGAAGTGTGTCACAGCCAGCCTTACGGAATGAAAGCTGATGTGTGGTCCCTAGGCGTTGTCTTATACGAGCTTCTAGCCTTGAAGCCGCCTTTTACGGGCAGCAATTTGGCGGCATTGATCAACAACATTGTCACTGCCACTCCCAGCCCTGTGCCGGGAGTGTACAGCCAACCTGTTCACGATCTGGTGCGTGACATGTTGCAGAAATCTGCAGACACCCGTCCTACTGTCAATGAGGTTTTGGCCAGACCGTGTCTTTGCTCTGCAGAACCAGGAAAAGAAATGCAAGACGAGACTTTCGTTCCCCAACACGTGCTGCAACCGGGGAATGATGTGCCAGATTCCTTGGAGCACTTGCTACGGAAGACTGCAGAGAGGAGAAGGCCGCCTCTTCCGGATAGTGCGCAGATGGTACATGAATGCAGAAGAAATAGAGATGCAGCTATGGCTGTCAAGGCGCGTGTTGAGGGCAGAACATCATTGCAGCAGCGCAGTCGCAGCGAAGAACCAGACCAAGCGCTCAGCAGCTCGTCCCGCAAAGCGTTGAATGAGGCCGAGCATCTACGAGCTTTGCAGGAGGCAGCAGCTCAAGCAAGACGTGATCGGCGGCACGGACAACAGCGCTTGCGTCAAGAATTGGAGAAAACCCCCCGCATAAGTGAACATGATGCGACGGACTACGCTCCAAGACGGCTCCGAGCAAGCTCGGCTAATGAAGCGAAGCACTTGTTCGATCTACATGAGGCAGCAGCTCAAGCGCGCCGAGATCGACGACAGGTTCAAAAGAAAATAAAGGAACTGGAGAAAGCTCCTGACGGTTGCAGAACAAATGAGATCCAGGCTGGCCAAGGGTGCTCCGGTTCGTCAAGCCCTTCTCGAACCAAGCAAAGTCGAGCTATGGCTGAGGCTCAGCATTTGATGGCTTTGGAGGAGGCCCGTTTGCAAGCTCGTCGAGATCGCAAAATGATCGATGCAAAGCGGAAGGCAGAGGAAGCCTCTGAGACCGACAGAGTTCATGACATGCAACATACCCAGGTTTGCAAGCCACATACACCAGAGGATCGGGCAGCAGCTGAAGCAAAACACTTACAGGCCTTGAAGGATGCTGCTGCGGAGGCCAGGCGAGAACGACGCATGTTGCAGCAAAAGATTCAGCATGAGCTTGAATGCCAAGCAGTCCAAGACGAGGTCTCGTACAGGCCGTCATTTGAGGCTGGGGAAGGCCTTGCCGGCAAAATGAGGCATCACCAGCTCTCTCAGCTCTCTGATGGGCGCCCTGCAAATCGAGGGGCGAGCGAGGCCTGCTGCAACGAAAGCCGTTCGGCCAGCATGGGCAATGATGAAGCTGGTGACACGAATTTACTCGGCGCGGATGGCTCCCACTCATGCTTTTCCAGTTTGTCAGACTCCTTCCGAAATCCAAGTCGAAGGGATCAAGACCGGTCGAGGAAGGTTGAGGTTGACGAGCTGTCCATTGCAGCAAGCACTGCGCAGGCAAGCGGGGCCTGAGTATCTAAACTGTCAGGGGCAAGCGTGAAAAGGCAACATGCGCATTTGTTCCAAAGCTTGAAGTTAGCTCGATGCTAGCTCCACACTGCCCAGGACAAAAACTCGTTATCAGCCCCACTGCGGCCAGCCAGAGACGTGGACACTTTGGGATCCTTGTCGTACTCGCTTACGGCCAGGGCCTTGGGTGAAAGCTCGGATATTTTCTTTGTTAGATGTAACGGTACTGTCCATTTGATGCGAGCGTGTCTGACACGTGGAGCAGCTGAGCACTTGGAAGCGCTTTCTGCATGGGAGTGCAAATGGAGGGGCGTGCGCCCCCCAACCCCCCCCTGGTTTGTAACGCAAGGGCGCGGCTTAACAAATCCGGGTGTGCAAGAAACTTCGTGTTCCCATATTTGTCCAACTTGCGACACCTTAGCATACTTCTACAAGAAAATACATCTTCTGATCTTCCGGGCTCCGCCACCCCCAATCCCCTGCTATTTTGTAGTGGCAGCATGCCGCTCGGGAGTCTTATTCTTCCTGAAGCTACAGATCCTGTATTTGCAGGCTTTTTTCGTTCCCCACATGCACTGTGGGATTCTAGTTGTTTAGATGTACTGTCGCCCGCCATCCATGGGTACTCTTCCGTCGCGCAAACATTTGGGACGCGCCCTTGTTCGCTTAAAAATCGCGCTCTCGGTCGAGACATCATCAAAACATCGGCGTTTTATGTTGATTTCCGATCAAAAAAAAGGAGACTTCGCCTTTAAAGTAGTCTTGCTAGAGGGGTCGTATCTGAACTGGTCACGCCTCTGATTTTTGAAAATCGCGCTCCCGTGCGAGACATCCTCAAAATTTCGAGTTCTTCTTGCTCAATGATTCATCAAAAATTCCCGCGAGACAATTCGATTTTTTGCGTATGTGATCATCTTCCTATCTTCGAACATCGCGCTCCCGTGCGGAGCGTCCTTGAAATTTCGTCGATTTATCTTCATTAAGTTTGATCAAAATGACACTCCCGTGCGGAGCATGCGGAAAATTTTGATCATGTGTGAAAGAGTTTGTGGAGGAGTTCGATATAGATTCTATATGAAATCAATCCCGGTGTATTTCATCTAAGTGCTTTTCTGGGCTCAAGATGGTGGCATTTGGCGGAGGTTTCCGATATAGGGTTGGTATAGGATTCGCGACGCCATCCTTCAAAATCGCGCTCCCGAGCAGCCTGAAAATTTGAACAAAAATCGCGCTCCTGTGCGGAGCATCCTGCAAAAAAATTGGAAGAAAATCGCGCTCCCGTGCTCCTGAAAATTTTGAAGAAACATCCTGGAAATTTGGAAAAATCGCGCTCCCGTGCGGAGCATCCTGAACATTTTGAAGAAAATCGCGCTCCCGTGCGGAGCATCCTCGAAATTTCAGCTCTTTGGTTCGAAATCGCCCTCCTGTGCGGAGCATCCTGAAAATTTGGAAGAAAATCGCGTTCCCGTGCGGAGCATCCTCAAAATTTCATCGTTCTCTTGTTCAAAATCGTGTTCCCGTGCGGAGCATCCTGAAAAAATTGACGAACGTCGCGCTCCCGTGCGGAGCATCCTCGAAATTTCATCGTTCTTTCGTTCAAAACCGCGCTCCCGTGCAGAGCATCCTCAAAATTCGGTCGACTTTTCTTTACATATGTATATACATACATACATACATAAATACTTTCAGCCCCTTGCCCTTCAAATTCTCCGCTTTTGCGGTTAGACTGTTTGCCCCTTGCGCTTCAAATTCACCGCTTTTGCAGTTACACTGTTTGCCCTTTGCCCTTGCAATTCTCCGCTCTTGCGGTTAGACTGTTTGCCAAACTCCTTGCTTTTGCGGTTAGACTGTTTGCCCCTTGCCCTTCAAATTCTCCGCTTTTGCAATTAGACTGTTTGCCCCTTGCGCTTCAAATTCACCGCTTTTGCAGTTAGACTGTTTGCCCTTTGCCCTTGCAATTCTCCGCTTTTGTAGTTAGACTGTTTGCCCCTTGCCCTTCAATTTCTTTGCTTTTGCGATTAGACTGCCCCTTGCCCTTCAAATTCCCCTTTTGCGGTTAGACTGTTTGCCCC